CCCCGTCCCCGCCCGGAGAGCCCGCATCTTTCTCTTGCCGCTACGCCGCGTTGCGAGTCAGGGTTCTCCTTTGCACGTGCCCCCGTTTTTATGGGCGTTCTTGTGTTGTTCATATTCTACCGCGCTGCAGCTAACCATGCCCGTCACGCCCGCATCCCTCGCACGCCCTTCGCCATGCCTTGTTTTCTCTTTTAATCAAGTGGGGGATTTTCATTCCCCCTACGAAATACCCTCAGACTGACATGGAGAGCAAGTGGAGCAAAGCGCTGGAGAGCGTCCGAAATGACGTCGAGTGCTGNACGAGCTCGAGACTGTCGAAGAGTGGGGAGGGAGGGCGGGTCTCCACGATTCTTGGGACGACGACCCTTTGTTGGACGAGAGTACTGTGGGGTCCACCAGCCCCACCCCGGCGGACGATGACGGCACCATCACGACCCCAGAAGCAGCCCATGAGGAGTTGAAGAACGCGCTTATGACGCACTTTGAATTCCATAGATCGAAGAACGACATTCGGTGGCTCAGACACGCCACGACTGACTAAATAAAGTGCACGTGGCGCTTTTTTTTGGTTTGGTGTGCGTGAATTTCTTTATTGTAACGCGCGTGTTTTCGTTCAGCCTGAGAACTGTGTGCCAAACCGGCTTGGTTATTTCACGCTCGGAGTGGGTTTGCTGGAGGAGCCGTACTGCATGTCCTTAGGATCGTGGCTTTCTTCCTCTGCGTTTTAGAGTGCATTCTTGGGTATTCGACTGATTCACTTCATGGAAGGCACCGTTACATAATATACCGCTATGAAATCCAAGTACTGGTCGGTGTTCGCCGCATTTTTTGCAATGGGGGTTGGGGCTACAAGCAATCCACTCGGACCAGTTTATTTTCTCTCTCTACACCCCTGGTGGTGGTTTGTTGTCGCGATTGTTATATTTTTCTGGTGTTCTCCTTGATGGACGCTTGTGTTTACCCTAGTTGGGTAGTTGGCCAATGACCACAAAATGGATTTTTTTCTATGGAAGGTTTTGCATCAGATTACCGAACTGGGTAGGTTATGCAGGCAGGGTGCAGGTGCTGGTTACAACGTCTTATTTGCAGTGTGTTCTCGGTACGAGGTTGTGTTTTATCCCCGTCCACCATTTATGTGTGTGGTACGCCGTGATTTAGGTGCAGTACGCCGCTCTCCCTGTTTGTTCTTTTACGTTCTATGCTTTTTGTAACCGGATCTTTGTACACCATCTGAGTCGCCTGTTGTGTGGTCTGTGGTGGCCGCTCGGCCGCTCTAGGCCTCCATCCAATCTCGAATCCTGACATGTCGTGGGCCCCCTGGCGCTACATGCCACCGTAGGACNTGGTTACAACGTCTTATTTGCAGTGTGTTCTCGGTACGAGGTTGTGTTTTATCCCCGTCCACCATTTATGTGTGTGGTACGCCGTGATTTAGGTGCAGTACGCCGCTCTCCCTGTTTGTTCTTTTACGTTCTATGCTTTTTGTAACCGGATCTTTGTACACCATCTGAGTCGCCTGTTGTGTGGTCTGTGGTGGCCGCTCGGCCGCTCTAGGCCTCCATCCAATCTCGAATCCTGACATGTCGTGGGCCCCCTGGCGCTACATGCCACCGTAGGACGCTCGAAAACCAGACGAAATAATCCGTTGGACCATAATATGGCTTCCAACGGATTATCCGCCCGGAATTTCACAACGATTTTTTTTTTCCGTCGGGCCAACTTTCGGGAGCCATGTGAGTCAGTCTGAGCGCTCAATTCTTTTCAGTAGAGATTTTTTATGTAATATTACTATATTCGACCACTATTATATCTTTAGGAGACAGACGTACGTACGTACGTGTTGCCGTATTGACTTTTAGAGAGAGAGGCAGCGTATGTATATACGTAGTGTATCATCGCCTACTCTCTCTCTTTTTCTCAGTCTTTGCTTTGCCCCCCGATCGTTGCCGTGCGTGTTTCTACGCAACAGTATATATATCAAAGAGAGTAGGCCCATGTCTATGTTGCTTCCGGCACTCCATCATGATCAGACGATAAAGATGGCGCTCGCACTTTAGAACTTGGTAGTTAAGAAATGCGGCCACGAAAAAAATCAAAATAAAAGAAATTGACCACAAAATAATAATAAGTCCATTTGTACGATGTCTTTTTTTAGGCTGTCTTTTTTTTTTTAAATGACAACTGGCCAAATAGCCCCGTGTTACAACGTCTTTTTTTGCTAAAATATGACAACGAAAAAATGACGAACCTTATTTGACAGCCTATAAAACGGGGCTATTTGGTCAGTTGTCATTTTTTGAAAAAAAGACAGCCTAAAAAAAGACATCGTACAAATGCCGGCACTCTTGAAGCTTTTTGTTTTTTAATTGCCGCGAATGTCCAATAAATCGGTGTGTCGTGTACTCTGTGGACACCGGCTGGTACATGGTTTCCGCGGCAAGGCATGGACATTCTCGGGCTTGGACAACCTCGCCTGCAACCAAGCACATATACAGATGTCCCTTTACTGGGTTTGGGCCGGCGTTTCCGCACCCTGCCTGACCTTGGAGGTTGGCAACGGTGGGCCCGATCGGGTTACGCAGGTTGTACAACGCCTAGGGGTTACAGGTCACATTATAACCCCCCCGTAACCGTGCCCACTGGCCACCTGTGACGTGCAGTTTTTGTTTTTGTTTGCGGGGGTGGCGCATCTTACCCAAGGCTGAGGAAGGGCAAGAGGGAGAACGTGCGCGGCGACAAATAAGCTTAGGTGATCTCTTCGCAGCGAGTATTGCCTGGTCCCGCGTGCTCGCCCCTTGGTCCAGATGCCCAGATCAGAATCCGAATGGTGCCGTTTCGCACGGTTTCCAGTTGTACCACAGTTAGCGCCCGCAATTAAGAAACGCTTATTTTAGGTCCAGCCTCGAATTCTTATTGTTATAAACTCAGCGCATGTCGTTCAATTTCTTTTGTCGAGTTGGTTTCGTGCCGCCAAATCCTGCTGATTTCTTCACTCGGCAATTTCTTATTTTCTCTGCTCACGAGAGCTGGCGGAGCGCACCATCAAAACCGTACAGCAGACAGCATATCGTGGTTCGCAGCCTGTCTGGTGTACTGTGCCAGAGCCGGAGCACCAGAGAGCGCCAGAGGCGGCAGGGGGCCGAAGGGGGCGCCGCAAAAGAAACACACTCCCCCTTCGTCGTATAACCAATAACGCACTTGGGAGGGGGGGGGTAGTGGGAGGGGGGAAAAGAGCGAAAGATAGAAGGAGCTGTGGGGTGTTTCTCATTCCACACACTCTCCCCGTAACCCATCGTTTCCTATGCAGTAGGGCAGCGGTCGCCGCTGTTTCCTCTTCAGACATTTCTTATTGTGTGCCCCAGCGTGAGCCATGTTTCTTAACCCTATTTTCTTATTTTTCGTGGAAAAATGAGCCTTTGTTTCTTGAAAAGATATGTCGTATTTGCGGGCGCCAACTGTAGTCTAGAGGGTATCCACGTGTTGTTGAACTGACGTGAAATATTGGCATTGTTTTGACGTGACGATGCTACGCCGCCTTTTGGCGGGCAAACTCTGACGTCGATTTTTTTTTGAAGAACCGTCAAAACATCAAGCGACGCGAGAAGAATGGCACTTCAAACATCACCAGACTGGCACACACACGCTTGCTCTGTTACCGTCAGCAAATCACGAAAGGAGCGCCGTCAGCAGCAAAAACATGATGGACCACGCCTACTGATTGCTCCTTGCGGTCCAGCACACACACACACACTTCTCGGAGAGTTCTCACGGCGGCGCAGTGGCCGGACTCGCGTGTTCGGCGCGCGCGTTCGGTAGGTGGGCCGTCGGGATTGCGCACGGGCTTTTAGCAGCAAAAGGGGGCTTAGGCAGAGGTCGAATAGGAGTCCCGCCTTCGAACGGAACACAGATATAGGAGTAAGGGAGAGTACACGGACGTGGCCGGTCAGTAGGTGCATCTCGCCAGCCCCCTCACGGGGTTGGGTGCTCAGCTGCCTCAGTGACATTGGTACACAGCAGCAGCAGTGCAGCGAGCAGCTGCCTCGGCAACAACGGCTTGACCCCTTGGAAGTCGCCGCGGCAAAGGAAGGAAGGTCGGCGGGATGCGGCGGAGGGGTATACACCCAGTCTCCTGGGAGCCTGGGACAAGCCTGGGAGTGTGGGTCTTCGCTTCAGCATGTCGACTCTCTGGGTGGCAGCCCGAATCAACCCTGGGTCGCGTCAACACTACGCTACCATTTTTTTCCCTCTTAGGTACCAACGGGCACACGTGGTGCGATTTTTTTCGCAACACCTTCAACCTTTACTATATGTTGGCGTCAATCCTCAGACCACTGTTTATGGCGGCGGAATCTCAATCTTAATCTTGATTTTTGGAAGGGGGGGGGGGATCGATTCAAGAAATATTTCGGATGTACACTTGTTATGGAGTCCAAATCTTGCCTCAAAATCTTGGCAACATTTGGAATGAAACCAAAGTGCCCCCTTTTGCCCAAATATTTCGCCAAGATTTGGGCGCTGGCAGCCTTGCCGAAATCTTGCCGAGGGTGGGGGGGTCAATAACGCCGCACCGTCCCAGACCGTCCACATAATCAGCGAGTGCGACCTGAGTTCTGGACGTATCGCTCCCGTCAAGGACTCCGACGAACCCTATGGTGAAGGGTTTGCTGTTCTGCTCGCTGGTTGTTGGTTGTCGGTCGGGACACGAGCGTTAAAAAAATCATTTCGCANTGGGGCCATGGGGGTCTCCGTGGAGAGGGAAGTACGGGGGAGGTAAGATGTCCACTCCAGGAGCCCCATTGGGAACACATGATGATACCTCAGATGATACGACTACTGAGGGTGAGGCACAGACACAGAGGATGCACGGACGGCTGTCGGGACGGGATCTCACCAGTTATTGTTGTGTGTCGTCTCCTCGTCTTCCCCCAGCGTGCGGGTGCGTGTCGCCGCCTTCAGACGGCTCTCCGCCGCCGTGACTATGTGATTGTAGCTGCTTTTTTTTTCTTGTTAATACTAGTATCAAACAACAAATCCATCTGCTATCTATAGGAATACGTCTAAGACCACTACTGTTTATGGCAAACAAATCTTGGCTCTTCAAAACCTTGGCAAGATAAAAGCGACCTTCCCCCAAGATCAAGATTATTGCATGTACGTGTGTGTGGAAAACTGCATCTTGATCTTACTTGGGGGTTGTGGACACCTCGATAGACGAAATCAGCGAGTGCGACCTGAATTCTTGACGTATCGCTCCCATCAAGGGCTCCGACGAACCCTATGGTGAAGGGTTTGCTGTTCTGCTCGCTGGTTGTTGGTTGTCGGTCGGGACACGAGCGTTAAAAAAATAATTTCGCATCACACCAAACGTGGAGACTCCCAAACGTCACGAGAGGGCAACAAAGCCGAAAGAAGCCCGCGTTCTGACAGAGGCGCGACAACAGCGCAATTGATTTCTCGCTCCCTAGGCCACCGATTGACGCAGGGTGTGCTCTCCGTTCCTTGTTCTCTCTCAGAGTGGCGTGGCTCAGGAGCTCGCAAGCTCAATCGACTGAAATCGTTGTCTGCGTGTGCGCACGCCATCCGTTGAAAAACGTTTCAGGTGTTCAACAAGTCAGTCTATTCGCAAGTGAATAACAAGGGCGAAAAAATCAGTTCGAAAAAGCAAAGTGACGCCACGCACAATTCTCTCTCCATCAATTGAGCTTGCGAGCTCCTGAGCCACGCCACTCCGAGAGAGAGCAAGGAACGGAGAGCACACCCTGACCGGTTTGGCGTCAATCGGTGGGCTAGGGAGCGAGAAATCAATTGCGCTGTTGTCGCGTCTCTGTCAGAACGCGGCTTTTTTTCGGCTTTTTATCCCTCTCGTGACGTTTGGGAGTCTCCACGTTTGGTGCGATGCGAAATGATTTTTTTTACGCTCGTGTCCCGACCGACAACCAACAACCAACGTGTGGAACAGCAAACCCTTCACCATAGGGTTCGTCGGAGCCCTTGATGGGAGCGATACGTCAAGAACTCAGGTCGCACTCGCTGATTTTGTCTATCGAGGTGTCCACAACCCCCAAGTAAGATCAAGATGCAGTTTGCCATACACACGTGCATGCAATAATCTTGATCTTCGGGGGGGGTCGCTTTTATCTTGCCAAGGTTTTGAAGAATCAAAATCAAGATTTGTTTGCCATAAACAGTGGTCAAAGGTCAAAATTTCGCGTCATTCCATAGATACCCTATATTGTGCGGCAGAATGCGTGATTGAACACATGCATGGCCGATGCACAGATGGTTGCGCTGGTTGTCTTAGATAC